CCCCATGGACTATGTTGTTTGCAGATGACATTGTGATCTGTAGTGAGAGTAGGCAGCAGCTAGAAGAGAACCTAGAGAGGTGGAGGTTTGCACTAGAAAGAAGAGGAATGAAGGTCAATCGTAGCAAGACAGAGTACATGTGTGTAAACGAAAGGGAGAATAGTGAAATGGTGAGGTTACAAGGAGCAGAGGTGGTGAAGGTGCAGGAGTTTAAGTACTTAGGATCAACTGCTCAGAGCAGAGGACACTGTGGAAGAAAGGTGAAGAATAGAGTGCAGGCAGGATGGAACAGCTGGAGAAAAGTGTCAGGAGTGATCTATGATAGAAGAGTGTCAGCTAAGGTGAAGGGAACGGTTTACAGGACAGTGGTGAGACCAGCCATGATGTATGGTTTAGAGACACCAGCAATAGGCAGAAGATAGGAGGTAGAGCTGGAGATGGCAGAGTTAAAGATGCTAAGATTCTCTTTAGGAGTGACAAGGATGGACAGGATCAGGAATGAGGTCATTAGAGGGACAACACAGACAGGAAGGTTTGGAGAAAAAGCCAGAGAAGCCAGATTGAGATGGTTTGGACATGTGCAGAGGAGGGACAGTGGATACATTGGTAGAAGAATGTTAGAGATGGAGCTACCAGGTAGGAACCAAGAGGAAGGCCAAAGAGGAGATATATGGATGCCATGAGGGAGGACATGCAGATAGTTGGAGTCAGAGTATAAGATTCAGAGAACAGGGCAATATGGAAATCAATGATTCACTTTGGCAACCCCTGAAAAAAGGGACAAAGCCAAAAGGAAAAGAAGAAGAATCATCGTGTTTTATGAAATTGCACTGTCCCCTTTTAAATAAACTAAAAAAAAGTGACCTCTGCTTTTCACCCATCACCAAAGTGAACAGTGTGCTTTAAGCCCCCAGGGTGCAGGGTGTGGGGACGGTACCACGCTCAGAACACCGCACTGGTAACTTGGCAGCTGGTGGACTCGAACCCGAAGCCTTCCGGACCCAAGTCCGCTTCCTTAACCACTTGGTATGGACACACCAGTTGTTCGTAAACAAAATAAATATTTGTGAGTTGTTTCGCTTCAACGGTTAGCATTTGAGCTACCGATCAAAATGTAAACTATGTGATGAGGTCAATTATGTCCTTGTTTAAAACTGTTATGTTCATAAGTACATCAACCTGCAATTTACTTTACGTATTCTGTCAGCACACGATATTTCCGTTTTAAATAATGGCAGAAATAGCAAATATGAGATTGTGTTTTTCCTTGCTTACCCGAAAGTCGTCGTTCTTCGCCATCTTGATGTTCCGGTCATCCCGCCCAGCGCGAGTACTTCCGGGTAACGTTACAGGATTGGGGAACTTCTTAGTACGCAATTTCCTTTCGATCTTGACTACCATAGTAAATATGAATGTGCTACAATCAAAATGTCATCGTTTTTGAATGGAAGGAGAAAAAATAAAGAAGGCACTGATGCTCTGGCCATTAAAACGTCAAAGACTCCGGACTCTTAAGAGTTTATATGACTAAATTTCTTATTTATTTATTTTTTCAATAGAACTAAAAAAAATCTATTAAAGAAATACTTGGAGAACTGGAACTGAACTGCACAATGGACAGTCTTAGCTCTCTCGAATAGGTATAATAATAGGTACGGTGAACCACAAAACGTATTTCAGAAATTGAATTCCGCTCTGACGTCTGGGAATGACACAATCTTTAGTTCATAAAAAAACAAGGAGTTACGTTAAGCTTACAGCAAAACGTAAGTCGTAAAAAAAAATCTGCCCATTTTTTATGGCGAGACATTTTATATCGAACTAGTTTCTTTAGGGCGTAATAAGATTTTGGTTCACAAGCGGTGGCACGGTTCGACACGTGATCGTGCTAGACCAATCGAAAAGCTGATTGATGTCAACACTTCCGGCAACACGGCTGCCTCGTGGTTTTACTTAACGTTACCTATAGCGAGACATTCTCCCAAAAGTCTTCTAAAGTGGGCTAAATGGATTATAAACAGTGCTTTATACATAGCCACCTGCACAAAGAACAATTAGGCAAAAAGATGATAAGGTGAACTTTCTATTTTAAGTCATTTTGATATATAAATCAAAGGAAGTAATCAATGACAAGGACAACTACTACAACAACTAAATACAACACTGATCAGCCATTAAAAAAACAATCTTTATTAAAACATATATACATATGTTCAATATATAAAACAGTACAAAACAGCATAAGAAAATGAATGGTAATGTTAACAATGCAACCACTGCAATACAACTCTGAGGCAATAGGCTACACATGACATGTTAGTTTAAAAGTTCTGTTATGCAACTGGACATGAGTTTTCTAAAAGAAGACATTTCACCTCTCATTCAAGAGGCTTCTTCAGTTCTAAAGAAGCCTCAGAACTGAAGAAGCCTCTTGGATGAGAGATGAAACGGAACTTTTAAACTTGACCATGACCTTGTTGTGGTAAGGTTTTACCACCC